CAGCATCACCAATGAAGAGGAAACATTCACTCTCTCAGCTCATTACAGCACACACAAACACATCGACTACATCCCATTCATAAAAACAAACCACTTTTCATATTTTTGAAATGAAAACTTGCGTCAGAAATTTCAGGACATTCCAAAGTTTAGAGAGACAACGAATCATAACATGATATTATAACTGTTTCAGTAAAGCTCTGCGGTCACAGAAGACACCATACACTTATTATTACTAGAAATCCAATATTAATTTCCTAATTACATATTTATTAACTATTTACTTACAATTAATTAATTCAATATCAACACCAGCATTCAAAAGTTTGAGGTATGTAAAATTAAGTATCTTATTCTAACCAAGGCTGCATTTATTTGATCAAAAAACTGTAATTTTGTGAAATATAAAATAACAGTTTTCTCCTCAAATAGAAACTGTTTTCCTTTGAAAAGTAATTTTTTCCTTTGATGACAAAACTGAATTTTCAGTAGTAACATTACAAATGTTTTTACTGTCACTTTTGATCTATTTAATGCATCCTAAATGAATAAAACTATTATTTCTTACAAAAAAATCTTCGTAACCCCCAACTACTGAATGGTAGTACACAGAATTACTATATATTAATAAATAATATAAAAAAAGATAAGTATATATTTTCTATAAATATGTAAAATATTTTTTAAATAATTTTGAATTTAATTTTTAATATATTTTTATTAATATATAACAAATAATATTTACACAACTTTTTTTATTCCACAGTTCTAACTTAATGTAAAGCATATTTGCCAAACATAAATGACACGGGTAAGATTTTTGGGTCACACTTTATTTTAAGGTCCAATTCTCGCTATTAACAAACCATTAACTATGACTTTTGCCTCAATAAACTCCTAATTTTCTGCTTATTAATAGTTAGTAAAGTAGTTGTTAAGTTTATTGAGTAGGATTAGGAATGCAGAATATGGTAATGCAGAATATGTGCTTTATAAGTACTAATACACAGTCAATATGTTAATAATAGGCATGCTAATAAACAACTAGTTAATAGTGACCCTATACTAAAGTGTTTACTACATTTGTGTTATAGTACTAATAAACTGAATGTGTTACATACACAATATCCAGCTTTACTATTAAAATGTAGCAATTTTTGCAATAACAACATTGTAAGTGTGTTGTGTGTGTATTACCTGCCATGACGACAGGCTGTGTAGACCGATCCATCCTCACTTCCCACCACAAAGTTATTAACGTCACCGAGAGGGAAGGACATGGAGGTGACCGCAACTGATTTAGACTGCTTAAACAACAGCTCCATACTGTCCTGTTGACACACACACACACACACACACACATACACACACACACACACACAGACACAGACACACACACAGACACACACACGCACACACACACGCACGCACAAACGCACACACACACACACACACGCGCACTCACAAACGCACACACACACACACACACGCGCACTCACAAACGCACACACACACACACACACGCGCACTCACAAACGCACACACACACACACACACGCGCACTCACAAACGCACACACACACACACACACGCGCACTCACAAACGCACACACACACACACACACACACACACATCAATAACACCACAGCCAGCAGCCTCTTCCACAGATTAGAAATGCGCAATTTAAATTCAGCCAGCGCTTTACCAATCATTAACATCTGACACTGCGGTTTGGCAAATGTTTCTGGAAACTCAAGGGTGAGCAGCATGGAAGAGCTTGTACTCCCCAGTGGGCTTTTTATAGCGCTTCTGATGCCAACGAATTCACGTCAGCAAGATTTGCACACAACATTCACTGTTTTTACTTGGTTGAGTAAGCAAGTCGCTTTCTTTGAGCGTGATATTCAAACTCTGAAACCATGATGGCATATTTGAAGGGCATTGTGGGTACCTGTGGCTGAGACAGCATGTCCAGACTCCAGGAGCACATCTTTCCATCAGTGGAGATGCTGATGAGGTTATGAGCGTTCTGTGTGCCAACCACATTAACACAGTACACTGGGTGCTGCACGGAGAAACAGAAATGTAAGGTTAAGGGTAAAAATAATAAAACAAATCAGAAAAAGATGCTATATTTTGTTTTAGGACACCATAATAACAATATCTCAAGGTTCTTGGACTGTACCTTTCCAGTATGGTGTGTGAACGTCACGTACCGTGTGCGCCGCAGCAGAGAGAGGCGTCCTCTGGACAGGAGTGCGTCTGTTACTTCTGTTGTCCCACAGGACGATCTGTCCCGAGTAAGTGCCACCGACAACCAGGTTTGGGTGAAACTTCGCAAACGCTGCAGACATGACAGCAGACTAGAGGAGTGAGAGAGAGAGACAGAGATAATTACACATTCATTCAATCCTACTGGACAAATCCGAAGGAAGTCAGGTTTAGCAGCTTCACCTGGATAATCAAAATTGAAACTACTACATATAATGCTACAATCAATGTTTTAGCCTACTCACTGAAATTGCTCATTGCAGCTCATCTGCTGGTTTGTGTATTTAAAGGGATAGATGACCCTAGTGAAAAATAAATATACTAAAATGTATTTGAAATACATTTATTTCATGCTAAGTATTCTACATTTACATATTTATGTACTTAATCAAAATACCCTGCACTTGAACTTTTAGCATACTAAACCGGTATACTTAAAGTCTGCTAAATTGGAACAACTCATTTTTTACTTTGCACTTTAATTGTGTGGAAGTAGTGCTGAACTAAAGATATACTGAAGTATATTTGATTGTGCTGAAGTGGAACTACTGCAAGTATACTTCAGGTACACTTTAATTATCTTGCATATATTGACCGATATTGTTCAAAGATCATATAATCATCATCAATAGTGACATTAAAACACATTTTAGGCTTAATGTTAAGAAATGTGCATTGTGCACAAGTAGTACACCTAATAAAGTTTAATTAGGATTATTAAATCAGTAAGTCTTGAGCGACATGTCAGTAAATATGTTAATAGATTTGAACTATACTTAGTATGAAATAAGTGCATTTTTTAAATGTATTACTTTTTTACTAAGGGATGCAAAAATGAAACTTTTGTCATTGATTACGCACCCCTATGTTTGTTTAAACTTTTCGTTTTCAATCAACTGCAAAACACAAACAAAGATATTTTTAATGAAAACAGAGATTTTTGCTCCTTAAAAGTTCATTTCAAGTTTTTTTTTTTTTTTTAAAGATTTATTTTTGGCGTTTTATGCCTTTTATTTAGATAGGACAGTAGGTCGACAGGAACGGAAGTGGGTGAGAGAGGGGGGTGGGATCGGGAAAGGTCCACGAGCCGGGACTCGAACTCGGGACGCTGCCCACGAGGCCATCGGTGCCGACCATTTCAAGTTTTGATGCTTCAAAAAATCATAAAAGTCTTCTGAAGAGATACAATTACTTTATATTCATACATAAAGTCCTTTCCTTTACAATCTCTTTATGAACTTTTTGAAGTATGAAAGTTTTGATGAAATGGGCTTTCCGTGGAGGAACAGAAATCTGTCAGGTTATATTAAAAATTTCTTAATTTGTGTTTGTAGATAAATTACAAATACACAAATAACGCACAAAATAAATGATAAAAAAAAATATATATATATAAAAAATTTAATAATAAAAAAATACACAAATGTCATGCCAATAAAGCAGCTTGAACTTGAAAAACTTGAACTTTAAATTAAAGTCTTCTGGGATTAGATGCAATGATGTGAAGGTGAGCAAATGATGACAGAGTTTTTATTTTTAGGCGAATTAACCCTTTAAGTATTGAACACAGAAAAAATGACCAAATAATATACTGTATAGAATATAAAAATTTAAAACTTTGATGGCTTTATTAAAACGATTTTTGTAAAGTTTGACAAGTTACTTCTCACTGCTGCCTCTCAGCGGTTCAGCTGATATTTTCTCAGCATGTCCTGTACCTTCTTGTTTTTAAAAATAGTTTGTGAGCAAAGCTACATTATAAAAGCCTCTGAGGTCCATCAAGCATAAATGCAGCTTGTATCTGTTTGATGTGACCTCAAATTCCACCGTGACACCACAGAACACCAACTGAATGTAAAGTGAGTTTACATTTTTACACCAACAAGTAATGACGCTGATGCTTAAATTTGTTATTGACTGAATAAGCTGAACTCACACTTTCCTCAAATAAGAGTTAACCAGCCCCAACACACTCAGCAAAAAGATGGAAAAAGTAACAACCTCACACCTCTTTGAGTGTGTGTGAATACTGTTGTAGTTTTTCCACGTGTGTGTGTGTGTGTGTGTGTGTGTTCGTGTGTGTGTGTGTTCGTGTGTGTGTGTTCGTGTGTTCGTGTGTGTGTGTGTGTGTGTGCGCGCTGTGCATCCGTTGCTGAGGGTGGCACATGTGGTTCTACTCAGGCCATCCCAAGCAGATCACCTCAGGCCAAACACACAGCCAACACTGAGCAGATCACCTCAGGCCAAACACACAGCCAACACTGAACATACAGCAACACTCATCACATACACAACTGATCAGTGAAAAACATACAAAAGAAATGCTACAATTTGCTTCTGTACTGTTTGTAATGCAGCATAATGGCCAGAAGGATTAAAAATCTGTGGGGTTGAGTCTGATGACCATTTATATTTTAAAATCAACTGAAGTCAAACAGTTCTTCTCATTTTATATGTTCTTATAATATTCATTTAATTAAATATTTAAATAAAATTCCTAAAAAAAAATTGATAAGTGTTTTTTTTTCTTGCATCACACTAGCTTTCCTTCATGTGTAATGTAAAATTTAAACAAATCTCTCCTCTTTTATGAACAGAATTGTGCAAATAAAGTAGTAACATGGTAATAACACAGTTATTAAACTTTTAACATGGTTTGAAAATAATTAATTTATGAATGTTTTATAAGCTTAAGTTAAAACTGACCCGAAGAATGCAAAAGGTGTATGCAGATTTTAAATGTACTGGGAGTGTTAAGCAGTATTCAGTACTGAATATTAGAAAGTGTTACTGGCGCTATGCTACCAGATCTCTATTAAAAACATTTGAACCGGAGTTTGTGAATGAATGTGCATGTGCAACAGTATCATAAATGAGCATTTCATCATCATTTAACTCCCTCAGATAATGTTGTTCTAAACCTGTATGTCATTCATTCTTACATGGAACACAAACAGAGATATTAGACAATGTTCACATGCTGTTGCTTCTTTCTCCATGCAATGGACGTTTACAGATATGACCATATATGCTTTTACTGTATGAAAAAGAGAAGCTTGAACAGTCTTCAAAACCTCTTCTTTTGTGATCCATGCAAGGAAAAAGTCATGACACGAGAGATTTTGAACTATTCCTTTAAGGTATCACAAGTGTGTGTGTGTGTGTGTGTGTGTGTGTGTGAGTGTGTGTGTGTGTGTGTGTGTGTGTGTGTGAGAATGCCAGTGAAATCACAGTGTGCAGGGGAATGAGAGGGAGACAGAAAGATACAGAGAGGATGGAAGGAAATCCGTCTGCAGCCCACCCGTGAGATCTCAGGCCGGTGTGTAGGTGTTTGTATATGACAATCATGTTATGTGGGATGGCTTTCAGGAGGTGTGTGCACGGGGAGGAGTGAGAAGTCAGTCGTTGCTGATTGAAGGCAGGTGGGTGTGTGTGTGTGTGTGTGTGTACCTGACAGTGGAAGACATACTCCGGTGTGGTCTTCTTGTATTTCATGTTCCAGACCAAAGCCACTCCATCAGGCTCATGCGGGGCTTCCTCGTTGTTGTTGTAAGAGGCCACCAGCAACTCTGGATACTGTGAACACATGTGCACAGGTCGAAGAACTAGACTTTATACTACATAAGAAAAACTTCTGACTTCCAGCATCAAGTCTGGTTACAGCTTTTTCTGGCCGACAAGCATCCACTTATACGTGGGTCAAAGACATTAAGATGTCCGCATCAAAATAAATTTACAAAAGTGATTTTATGTCCATAGAAAGCACATTAAATGTGAGTAAAGTGTCTACTTTTAAGGTTTCAGATACGTTTTTGGAGAATAAAATGTCAAAATTTGGTTGAAATAATGTGTCATTCAGTGTAACACAATATTTATGTAAAAATTCAAACAACAGGCTTATTCTGACTTGTACACATTAAATTATATAAAAGAATAAAGGAGCATATTAAATTTGATTGCGTTTTAAATGAGTAAAAAATTCTTACTGACAAATGGGCAAAACCTAGGATAGTGGCACATTTTAAAAATGTAAAATAACAACTAATTAGTATTTGGGGTGAAAGTAATTAGTCTTTTAATATGTCATAAATTGATTTTTGTTGTAAACATGCCTGACAAGATTGTTACACTGAATGACATTTTAGTGGGTCTCTTCTGTAAAACAGGGAAAAATATATATTTATTTTTGCTCAGAAAAACAAAAAACAAAATTGCAATTAAATTAAACAGAAAATGTTTAAAATTTTTTTTGGTTGAAAAACTACAATTTAAAGCAGTATTACACTTATTATTTTTATGCTTAAACCCTTTTTCCTCTTTGACCCATGTACAGGTGCATCTCAATAAATTAGAATGTCATGGAAAAGTTCATTTATTTCAGTAATTCAACTCAAATTGTGAAACTCGTGTATTAAATAAATTCAATGCACACAGACTGAAGTAGTTTAAGTCTTTGGTTCTTTTAATTGTGATGATTTTGGCTCACATTTAACAAAAACCAATCAATTCACTATCTCAACAAATTAGAAAAAGCTGAGCAGTGTTTTTAATTCAATCTTATAAATTAAGACATTTTTTAGTTTCATTTACAGTATTTAGTGTAAATTTATGCATTCGGGTTTGATGCTGTAACCCACTGAGAACCTTATTTAAGCTGTTATTCAATATACAGCAATACTGAAACATATGAATAGCATTTAAGTAAATAGTGTAGCTAACCACTTTTTCAAAAGGGGAATCTGACTGCATTTTAAATACTGTCAATGTTATGTGTGTAATTGTTTTTGATAATCTATATACTTTCTTATATGCAGGGACAGTTAATAAACCAACAATGTCATAAAGTATCTGATGAGCCACTAATTGCATGACGCCAGGAGATTTCTCATGTAAACTCACATTGACAGCATTGTTTGAGTGTGTGTTTTGTGCTCTCTCTCAAATCACACACATCTGTCTGCGGTGGACACACATGAGTGCAGTGCGTTTGAGAGGGTTTATACTCTAGATCTATTACATCAAACTAGACACAGCGACTCCAAGACATCATCTGTATGAGCTTCTGTTTGATACAGCGAAAGAAATCAACTTTGAAAAACACTTCTAAACATACAGCCAATGTAAGATATCTTCACATTCATATGTGACCCTGGAGCACAAAAGCAGTCTTAAGTCGCTGGGATATATTTGTAGCAATGATGTATAAATCTCAATTTTTCAAAATTGACCCTTATGACTGGTTTTGTGGTCCAGAGTCATATATTTGGTGGCTTAAACAGCATTTGCTTGTTTTTAGAGGATCTTCAACATTTCTGTCGGTTTCAGACAAACTCCTCTTATTATTTATTTCACATTTACAAATTACTATTACTAATTACTATCATCAACAAGCAGATGTTCAAGAATATCATGGGTAGCAAAAAAAAAGGTAGTTTTGAAATCTAGTGAAGGTAATTTGAAGTAAAATAGTTGTCGAATTATAAAATTGAAGTGTTCTTATATTTATCTCCTTAAACTACATCTGAAGAGGGTGTCAAACATGTCCAAATCAGGCATGTTCAAATGTTTAACTGGACCCTATTATGAAATATATCCATTACATAGTTACTTAAATAAACATTATATCCATTACTTAAATAAACAATATATCCAAAACATTATATCCAATCGTTTTTCATGTTTTCATGAACAACAGTAGCAGCAGTTTTGATCAATTGTAAAACTAACCTATTAATGAAAAATATAATTCAATTTCAGCCTAATTTCAAGTGCTACATCATTGTTATATATTATACAGTACCGTTTAAAAGTTTAGTGTCAGTAAGATTTTTGAAAGAAGTCTCTTATGACCAAGGCTGCTGTGACGAGTGGGGGCGGGGCTGAGAGCTGTGGGAACGGAGCGAGGCCGGTGGAGTAATTGATGTTATCTATTTGAATCTATCTATTTATCTATACACACACACACATGTATACATACATACATACATATATATATATATATGTACACACACATGTATATACACACACACATAATATGATGATCTGCTGCTCAAGAAACATTTTGAACAGCATTTCAGAATTTTGAACATAAACCGTTTTTTGTAACATTATAAATGTCTTATATGGTACTTTTGACTAATTTATTGTGTCATTGCTCAAAAGTCTCATTTCTAAAAAAAAATATATATTACTGGCCCCAGATTTGAACGGTATTGCATATGTTATAATGCAATGAAAATAAAGGCTTCAAATGTTTCAGAAAAAAAAAAAAATTAAACCACGCTAAAATATTTAATGAAAATCAATATTTATACTTGAAGTTTTGGCATATATGAAGTTTAGGAGGTCACGTACCTGTGGGGACCAATCCAGACAGGTCACCACTCGCTGTTTGGACCAGCGATCATCAACAAACTTCCTGTTCAGAGACAGTTTGGCCCCAGCCTGCATCTCACTAGATACACACACACAAGTATCTGACATTAAACAGTGCACATGAGCTGGTCTGTGATCTCGTTTAGGTGAGTAGGGCTGACTGTTACCCCTCCTTCTCCTCCATGTCACGGCCGCTGTAGTCGAAGAAAACATCCACGTGTTCGGACAGAGCGCGCTCCATGATACGTGTGCTGTGATCGAAGAACTCCATGAACTCCTCCGAGTGCAGAAGCTGCAGCTTCTCCTCCTCTGTTAGCTCATGAGGGGGCGCTACACTCACGAACAGACAGGAAACAATGGCAGGTGTGTCACTGGATGAAATTAATTGCATTTATGCATCGGAATGGTTGAACTCTTGATTCTAGTGTTTGACAAATGTTCCAAAGTGTTTCATTAAATAGTGTTTATTTTTGCATAACTGTGAAGCAGTTCCAGGTTTATTCCAGTCAATCCAATATTGAGCCATGCAAGATGCTTAATCATTATTGTAAGAGAGTAGCTCTACACAAAAGATGTCTGAACACATGTGTATCGCAGGGAGCAACTGTGCATAAGTGGAAGAGTGGATTGCAAACCACTAAACTATTGAAAATTTAATGCACACCGGGTACAATCATGTCCATGACTTGAAGCAGGGTGCACTAAACTGTGTGCATTAAACTGTCAATATTTCAGTGGTCTGTTGTGAATTTTTCCTTACATATATTTCTTAGCTAGACTGTGTTTCCATTACACCAACATTAAACTAAAAATGGACACATTTTATTTTAAGGTCCAATTCTCGCTATTACAAACCATTAACTACGACTTTTGCCTCAATAAACTCCTAATTTGCTGCTTATTAATAGTTAGTAAGGTAGTTGTTAAGTTTAGGTATTGGGTATGATTATGGCTGTAGAATATGGTCATGCAGAATATGTGCTTTATAAGCACTACTAAACAGTCAATATGTATTAATAGGCATGCTAATAAGCAACTAGTTAATAGTGAGAATTGGTCGCTATACTAAAGTTTTTCCCTAAACATCAGATTTCTGTGACAAACATTTCAAATAGACAGAACTTCCATGAAATGTCAACTTCAACATTTCAACAACATTTCTCATTTTCATTTAGTTTAAAGAGAAATGCTAAAATAACTAAAACTGAAACTATACAAACATATTTTAAAACAAACTAATAAAAAAAATGACTGAAACACAACAAAATGACAAACTATAATTAAAAAGAAAACAGAAAAAAATAAAAATGTAATTAAAAATATTAGCCAAATCTAAGATAAATAGCACTGATGTATTACACTGGAGTCCGTAGGACACTGTATATGAGGTGTGTTCAATACTTTCAATACCTTCCTCATCTTGTTTCTCTGCTGGTTTCTCTTTCTCTGCCTCGACCTCAGGCTGCGGGGGTGCGGTCTCTTCCTCCTCAGCTTCCTCTGCAATAGGAAGATCACAAACATCAACATAATTCACACCAGAGCTGCTGAACGGTCTTATTATAGGGCCATGTTACACACTACTCGGGTTATCACTGGGTTAATATCTATTTTCAAGATTACATTTGAAGAGTTCATTTGCAAAAACCGATAAACGCCACTTTAAAAATAAAAAGAGCTGATTGCCGTGCATTATTCTCCACATAGAGCGCGATCTGAACCCTAAACACGTTTTGTCAAAAAAGCCGGTTTTGTGCACTTTCAAGGCATCGTGAATTCACGTTTTACTGCAGAAGCCGACAAGCGCCCTTGTTGTTTTTGAACAGAAGCCGATTACACATGATTTTAAATCTATTTTTTCAAACTTTATGATTTAAATGGGGATGATTGTACTGAGAATAACTTTCATCTTTTCTTCGACTGAATACTGTTTCAGTATGATGATAGATACTCTTCATTCTTTATGACAAATAAGATAATGTAAATTACAGAATGTACAACGTTTTTAAAATGGATAAATTGCGTTGTACAGCGTTTATTATGAGGACTCGCACTACATTTTTTGGAAGGTAATGGTACATTTACTTGAGTATATTTTTTCAGTACTCTTTCCACCACTGGTAATCACATCCATACAGTTTATGAACACAACAACAACAACGTTTGTCAGGCATCTACATTGTCATCTGAGGAGATTACAAAGATTAAACGAGTGTTTTTTTAAACTCTAAAACATGAAATGTGGAGATATCTGCTTTTGCCAAAAAACAACTGTTGGAGTTATCTGCTTTTGCTATAAAACAAACTTTTAATATGTAAAAAAAAACATACTTTCAATGAACTTTAATTTTGTAAATTACCTGTATTTGTTTAAGTTATTATTACTTAATCAAAACAACCCAACTGCACTTTGATTGATATTACTTGGAATGTGCAATAAAAAAAAACGTGATTTCTGAAAAAAGTTATCGGTTTTTGCAAATGAACTCTTCATTTGTTAACTGTGGGTTAATTGGTATTAAACAACTCATGGTAACATTATAGTACTGCATTCTTTCAAATTGTACAATTTGGCTCCCAAATTCATTGTTAGCAAAATCCACATTTACGCATCAACACCTATTCAGTGTTCAGCAACTTGGCCTAAGTACAATAGGAACTATTCTGCATGAAGTCAGCTAATAGTAACAGAAATCATTAACATATGTAAATAACCTCTTAAAGGTACAGTAGCAAAAGCAGTCTTTTTAATTCTAAGGGTCAGAGAGTGTCATAAACGTCATGAAAAACTAAAATTATTAAGTTTTTGATTAAAAGAAAAATTGAAACCACTGTAATTCAAAGGGTGGGAAATTTACTTTCATTTTTACTTATCAACCGTAGTGGTTAAATTAAAGCTAAAATGTACCTGCCATTTTCTCTAATTAAAAATATATAAGATATCTAACTATACGAAGTGGATCAAAAAACATGCAATGTGCATTTTTTTTTAAATGTGACTGATACTTGTTGGGGCCTCTATACCTGAAACTGAACAAACACAATATATCTATGAGTGTAAGATAAAAAAAATTACCATCATTGTGTTAAAAGAACCAGCCTTTTAGCAGGTGATAGATGTTAATTTCACCCTGAATCCCCATTAACATAACATAACCAGGACTGTGGAAGGATTTGCTTCATTTCAGTGGTTCTGATTAATATAAATAGAATAAGTGGGGGAAGAAAATCAAATTGAATCAGCCAACAAATTCCTGAAACCCAGTGAATATGTGACAAGTCCATGACTGCTAACAGCCTATTTAGTCTGTTCAAACGCCCAAGAACAACCTGGAGTGTGTGTGTGTGTGTGTGTGTGTGTGTTTGGACATTGTATCTACATCCCAGAGTCCGTCCTTTCTCTAATCTACAGGGGGCTACGCCGTCACCGAGGTCTTAACCTACAGCCCGTCTAACAGACTCCCGGCGTAACTGAGACAGGGACTATTGAGCAGCGCATCCCACACACACACACACACACACATAGGGCAGCAGGTGCCAGCGGCTGAGACAGCTGACGGCTGTGTGTGTGTATTAGGCAGATGGTTTTGCTGTGTTTGTGTGTGTGGTGGCACAGGGATGGCACAGGGGTTTCAGCCTGACTGCTCTTAGTCAAGACTCTCTCCGGATACACAAGTCTGTGCAATTAGAGAGTCGGCAGGGGGTCCAGGGACCGCTATTCACCCCAAACATGAGCAGCTAAATGAAGCTGCTGCCCTGACCAGCTGTAAGCCACACACGGCTCATCTCTGACAATACTCTACCAATGAGCCCTGAACAAATGTAAAGCTCAGGGAAAAATTGTAAAAGAATAGTTCCCAAAATGAAATGTTTTCAATTATTTGCATTCATACCGTTCTGAATCCATATGACTTTCTTTCCGCAGTGGGACAGAAAAGGAGAATATCTGAAGAATATTCTAGCCCCTCTTTTCAATATAATAAAAAAGAAAAAGGGACCCGGTGTGAAAATGGCACCATAAAACCACAAAAAAGCAGTCTACAGTAAAGTTGGATGATTTGGGGAAAAAATTGAATTGCAATATTTCGGATATAAATTTTATCAGCAATTTTTAAAATGCAATTTTTGAAAAATGTACAGGTTTGGAGCTTTAACAATAATAATAACTTAAAATATGAAACAAAATAAATACCCTACAGGTCTAAAGGTGTACCTTTTGAGAAGTAAAGCCCCAGTAACAGTTTTCTACTTTTTTGTGTGAGTGTAGTAAATGGAAAATAAAACGGTAACATAAAAAATACAAAAACTATTATTTTATAATAATAATAATAATAATAATAATAATAATAATTGT